AGACAGTGGGAGAATTGACAGAAAGTTTGCCGACCTCAGCAAGAAGGACGAACCTGTTTCAGCAAGACGTCAGTTGCAGTATGTTAGGCAGCAGGACGGTGCAACATTGGGAGAGTTCGTTGAACGTGTCCACTTTATAGTAATGGACGGTTATGATAAATGTGAGAATTCAGTCATCGATCAAATTAGTACTGAGGTATTCCTCAGAGGTTGTAAGGACTAGGAGGCTGCTCGTCACGTGATAGAAAGGAACCCAGTGTCTATCAAAAAGGCGTTGAAAATTATGAAAACGTCTAGAGCAAATCAGAAGGCTGTATATGGGTCAAGAAGTCCAAATTTTGTCCATCGACAGGTATCGTTTGCCGACGGCGCTATATAATTAAATAAAAAAGAAAGTACTGTCAATAGCCCATTTTAGAAGGAAGTACAAAACTTGACTTAACTTGTGACCAAATTGACAGCGGTAATGCTTTCTTCGGATCAACAGACACGTGGAAGATTTCCTGAAAGATACAACCCGCTTAAGTTCAATGCCTTCTGAACACCTACACCTCCTCCAAATCAAAGGTCATATAGTCCTCAACGGCAGCGTTCGCCTCATTGCGACCAAACAGTAGAAATCCAGGCTATTTTAGACAACGGTCCCCTTCACCTGGCGACAGAGCAAACCATAGCTCAACCCAATCAACCGAACCGTTAAACGCCAACGGGTCGAGCCGGTAGTCCAACACTCGACTCTTAAATCGTATGGCAAAGGTGCAATGAATCAGAACAGAGGCCCACGGCTTCGTCTGATATTGTTATAAGACGTACTATTGGAAAAAGTTTGGCAGTAAGAGGAACAGTGATTAAACAAAATGTTTAAAAGCATGATTGTTGATACTGCAGCTATGATAACACTCGTCAACGAGAAATTAATGACAGACGACATAGAATGTTCTGAAACAGTAACACTACGTGGTGTGGGCGAGCAACTGGTTATTGGCAAGATCATAAGAAACATACTCCTGAATATTGATGGGTTAAAAATAAGATGGGACGTGTGCAAGGCACCACTTACAGACGATCTTATCCTGAGTCTATATATTTTGGACACGCTTGGTGCAGTTATAAACCTGAGCACTCAATCAATACCTCAAACGACCGAATGATACCTGCATCCTTCGTTACTGGCTCTGAGGAAAATGCTACTCAACAAATCAAAGGACGCCTCTTGGATTCCAAGATCTTGAACAACAACACCTTGCTAAGATGTTACAAGCCGGTGTGATCGAGCCATCGTTTTCTTGAATGGGACTCAGCTCCAGTGCTGATTAGAAAAAAAAGAACAGTGCGCTGGTGTATAGACTATAGGGCTTTCAACGAATGTACAGAAAAAGATTGTTACCCTATTCCCATTATCATGGATTGCTTGGACTCACTTCAAGGCACAACCACGTTTTGTAAATTGGACCTCGCCAGTGGTTATTATCAGATCTAACTGGAACCAGAAGACCGAAAGAAAACGGCGTTCATTACAAGATATTGTTTGTTCGAGCACACCAGAATGGGCATGGGCCTTTGAAATGCCCCAGCAACATATCAGCGGGCCATGCAAATTGTTTTACATGGACTAACTTGGACACAGCTTTTAGATATCGTAATACTGGGTCGCAACTTCGAAGATGGTCTCATCAATTTGAAGGCAGCATTTGAAAGGTTTAGACAGTACACCCTAAAGCTGAAACCAAAAAAGTGCCACCTGTTTCAGCCAGAAGTTGAAATCCTAGGGAAACTGGTGAGCGCTAATGGCATTTCAGTTGCCCCATCTAAAATAGAAGCCAGTGAAAAGTGGCAAACTCCCAAGTCAAAAAAGGATCTCATGTCATACTTAGGGTTTGTCAATTATCACCGAGATCAGTTGCACAATTATGCTGAAATGACTGCATGTCTATACGACCTTGCCCACCAAACAGGTAAAGTTAAATGGCAACAGTGTCATGAAGAGGCGTTCCAACAGTCGAAGAAGGCATTATTAAGTGTACCTTGCCTGACATATCCTAATCCCGATGATAAATTCATATTAGATACCGATGCATCTGACACCACTAGGTGCGGTTTTACAATTACAAAATGGCGAAGTAAGGGTTATATACTTTGCAAGCCATGTCCTGCTGAAGCCTCAGAGTCGCTATTGCAAAACAAGTAAAAAGTTACTAGCCGTAGTGAAGTTTTGTCGGCATTTCAGTCACTATTTGCTTGGTAGGCGTTTTATTTTACGCACTGATCACAACAGTTTGGTATGGTTGATGCGTTTCACGGTCATCATTCGACATGGAGATCATACATCGTCTGGGGAAGAAACATTGTAACGCTGATGGTCTAAGTCGCATCCCAGATGACGTTTCCGAATGTGAATCCTATCGGGCAGGACTTGATCCCACAACACTGCCATGTCCTTGTTGCAGATATTGCCTACGAGAAATTTTGAAATGATGTAGATGACGTGATTTTATTGGCAACTAAGTCCGTAATAGCATCAGTACGCCCTGTTTCTGTAGTCGCTGAAAATGACAAGGACATATCCACTGACCAAAAGCCCACGGCTCTGGCAGGGGATTGTCACTCAGATCCATCACTCAATTTAGACGATACTTACCATATGCTGATGCTAACCCATGTAGCAACTTGGCACCTGAATACCCCCCTGAGCAGTTAACGATATTTCAGCAAGAAGATACTGACTTAGCTCCCATATTGAAATGGATGCAGGAAGACGTCGAGCCAAAACAAGCTTAACTATGTTTGCTAGGTAGGGCAGGTCGCTTTGGTTGTGTAGACATTGTTTCCTCATGTTTAACGATGTACTGTACTACAAATTCATAGGTTGTCCAGATCTCCAAGTCCTCTGCTTAATTAGTAGTCCCATCACAGTTTAAAGGAGAGGTTCTTATAAACTGTCATCACACTAAAACTTCGGTACACTTGGGTCAGAAAAAACGCTCAATAAGTTGAAGCGGGTTTTCTTGTGGTACAATATGCGCAAAGATTGTGAGGACTATGTCAATACTTACGCCACCTGCAATAAAAAAAAAAGGCGCATGTTCGGCCTAGGGCACCACTTGGGCCATTCCATGCTGTGTATCCGATGGAGCAAATACCTCTCAACATTCTCGGATCTTTTAATACCAATAATTATGTCTTAATGATGGTCGATCAATTCACCAATTGGGTAGAGATGGCAACGTTACCTGAACAGACGACAAAGTTAATTGCCGAAAAATTTATTGTGCATTTCGTCATGACATTTGGGTGTCCATTGGAAATCAACACCGACCAAGAATATAACTTCGAAAGTGACCTATTTAAAACACTATGTGATGCCTTGGAAACTGCCAAAACCAGAACACCCGTATCACCTGTCATCAAATGACCAGGTAGAGAGGTATAACACGATTGTATTAGCCATGATAAGATGTTTTATTGAGAAAAAAAGTCGACATTAGGACAAAGACTTGCCTTTCTTGGCTATGGCAATGCACTCAATGGTGAATAGACAAACTGGATTTACGCCGAATCAGATGATGTTGGGCAGAGAGACTATCCAACCTGTTCACCTTCTCCTCGGCATACCACAATATGGTCAGAATAAAATACTCCTAGCGCTTAGGTACAACATCTGGTCAGCAGGATGCAGAAGACTCACGAATTTGCAAGTCACCACCTCCGCACCTCGCAACTAAGGCAAAAGAGGGATTATGACCTCAGGGTCGTTGATCATAAGTATCAACCAGGCGACTTGGTGTATAAGGGAGACTCAACTAAAAAAGTCGATCAGAGCAGGAAGCTGACATCACTATGGTGTGGTCCTTTTCTTGTCGGGTCCTGTAGACCCTTGTTTTATACTATCAGGGGACGAAAAGGAGACTCAATAGTGCACCATGAAGCGTTGCAACGACAGAGATATCACGACCTGGATCAAAAGACTTAGACATGCTTTGTTCAAAGCTGAAGGTGAGTTTGATGAGAGCTTGGGTGATCTTGATGTTACAATACCTTATGGTGTTGACAATAATGTTCAGGGTATGTTTGAATCAAATGAACCCACTATTGATAACTTTGTCTTACCTCAGTCTTTAGGTAAACAAACACATAATGAAACCCTAATGACACAAGAACTGGAACAGGGGTCATGTTGTGAGGTGAACCATCCCTGGAATCTAATAGAAGTATCTGTGGCAGTGAGTCAGAGATGCAACATTCCGTTAAGTATTCTGAACTGGATGGCTAACGATAACGCCCTTAAATTTTATGGAATCCCAAAGCCACGACAAGAGCCAGCTATCTGGTGCCCTAGGCCCCGTTAGCAAATTTTCGATTAAAAAAATGGACTTTGTAAATAGTTTTGTCAATACCAGGAAGGTACCGATATGTGTATAGTGTATATCACTGGGATTATGTAGGATGCTTCTATTTGCATCCCAAACTTTTGCTTGCAGCGATTGACGGTTATGAGTTTGTGTTCTCGGCAGTATTTTATCTTGCTTTTAAGTTTCTTTTTATAGTTTATGAATGTGACTGGTTCTATAAGAATGGGACGGATATGGTGTCGCTGGTGTTTACATGGAAGAACCAGTCCACATCTTACAGTATGCCTTACAGTATCTCTGGTCGAGTTACGTCACGAAGACTCTCTTCAACTTCCGTTACAGGATATTCAACACGTTTTTTATGCCGTCTGCTAGATAATTTTTTTTTTATATCGCCTGATCATATTCATCAACAGATTATTTCAGGTATTCTGTCAAATACATACACACCTTGAAATTACTTTCGTACCATATCATTACACTAGTATTGAAAATATAATTTTGTGGAGTTATAAATAAACACTCCTCGGCTATATCTGAAGATCAAAAAGTGTTCCAGATAACATATGGAATGTGATATGTAAATAAACAATTACTAAATATGCAGTGTCTCTACAACTGAAGTACGTCTGGTTTCCGTTCACGCATGCGCAAAATATATTCCTATGTCCTCTCTAAAGTCGAACTTAAAGGATAAGGTAGATTTATTATTTATTTTTTATTTTGTCATTAAGATATAGCTACTTCCTGAATAATTGATGTGATATAAACCTAAAAAAATGATATACATGAACTTTCACAGTGGCTTCCTAGAACGACAATAATTATCACAGAAATTCAACAGGTTTGGGAGGATATCATCTGTTCTCGATAACTATGCGCGTGTTCTAATTTGAAATACTTCGCGTCTTCTGTTCGCCAGGATTTCACTTACAGAACAACATCTCGCTTCACGCAATCAACCATTTCAACATGTTACATATTAAGGTATGTATAAAAATAAAAATATAGATTCCTATTATAACCTACTTTTTCTTATTCCCAAAACTACCCCAACTTCACCCTCTCGGTTCATAAAATACATGTTTTCAAATGTAAACAAAACATAGCTTCGAAAGAAGGTCAAGTACACAAATCGCATACACAACCGGAAATGCAGGTATGACGTCGCTCAGAAAAAAAACTATGGAACGCCGTTTAGGTCATATCTTATGATTTAAGATATACATTTTAAGCAATAATCGGCAATTGTAGAGCAAGAAAATAATTAAGAGACGGTTTTATTTCAATAAAAAATATGTTTTGGTGATTTCACTTTTACATCTGAGTAGAAACAACAAAAAAATAAAGAATTTTAGCAAAATTTTATGAAAAAAATTCCTAAATTACCCAATAAATTTACATATATCAAATTATATATATGACATAAATTAATTTTTGTTTTTATTGTGTATTTTCAGGATAGATCAACACTAAGGCTGTATACACCAACAAAGCTTCAGAATGCTCACCAGGCCGTAAAAGACAGGGGCATGGCAGTTCACAGGGCTTCCGTTGTGTATATTGTCCCACTTACAACACTCAGAGATCGAGTTTATGAAAGAATCCACATTGACACTATGAAGTCTGGTCCAGCTCCACTGTTTAGCCAACAGGAAGCCAAATTGGTAGATCATGTTAAGAAGATGGCAGCTTATGATTATGGTTACTCCAGGTCAGAAACTATTATGATGGCACCCGATTTTGCAGTCTACCTCCAGAAACGGCCAAAAGAGAAACCACTTACCAATCCGATGGTACTACAAGTTCATGAGTAGATGGTCAGACGAAATTAAACTAGTTAAACCAAGGGCATTGGAGGCATCCCGTTCAAAGTCTGACACAAAAGAAAAGGTTGACAGCTACTTTGAAGAGTTGAAGAATTTACTTGATAAATATGATTTACGTAAGAAACCACATTGCATTTTCAACATTGATGAAAAAGGTTTCACTACAGAACACAAGCCAAGTGATATAGTATGAGATAAAAGGTCAACTACACAATCAATTACATCAGGGAGATCGCAAACAGTAACGGTTATTTCTAGTGGAAATGCTATAGGCACACATATACCTCCCCCCTTCTTTGTGTTCCCAGGTAAAAGGATGTTAAATGAATTACTTACTGGTCTCAGAGTCAGGTTGGTCAAACACAGAACTTTTTCTACGATGTATGCAGGAACACTTCATTAAATATATTCCATCTTTCAATGCAGAAAATCCAATTTGGTGATATATAATGGCTAAGCATCTCATGTTTCAATTGAGCTATTAGAATGGGCCCGTTGTAACCACATAATTATACAACGTTTACCTGCATTACCTTGTAAACATCGTAAGAATGCTGATCCAGTTCCATCATCGGATGGAGTCCTCCTTCCTTGGCTGTTTCGGCGCTATTCCACAACAACCTCCAGAGGAGCACAGGCTCAAGTGATCAGTCTGAACCTGAAACTAAACGGCTGACATTGCTCTCGATATGTCACCTGGTGTAACTGCTGCAACGTCACTGATGTTTTCATCAGAGCTGTTATAAAAGTCTTTTATATCATCTAAAGTCATAATAACACTAGATTCCTAAAATCACATATCACTTAATTGCCACTTTTCCTGATCTCATCTCTCTTCCTCCATAACCACTGTGATGACACTTCTGCTTGTCAACATACTTCTAAAATAAGCTTCTTCCTCTCTGCATCTACCACTCCTAAGGTCCTGACAGCTTGCCATACTGTCTGTCCTGCAAAGCCCCTGCAGCCTACTTCAATCGCAAACACCACATCCTCCATCCCCGCTGATGGCACTCTTCTACAAGCTGATGATATTTTGCTATCTTTCTTTCGTGCGCCTTACCAATCATTTCTTTCCAAAGGACTGTTAGCCCAGAAAGACTGTCTGCCTTTCCCCCTGTGACCATAGTAACTTATCTGGTCTTAGCGATATTGCTGCTATTTCTGTTGAAAGCCTCACACGTTGTTGAATATCTGCAGTCATCAGCCAAGCCGTTGCTGTTGCAAAGATCCCAAGGCATTCAGGTGTGTTGTCTTTGCTCTGTCCAACCTTCACAAAGATTTCGAAAGTGATGTTCTTCTTGACCTTTCTCTTCTTCCTCCTAATGATATCCAACCTCGCTGCTATTGTTTTCAGTACACTCTCATATCTCCATGTGTACCTACCATCTTTCAGTGGCACAGGACATGATGAAAACACATGTTGTAGAGTTGCTGGTTTGTCTTTGCATAAAATGCACGTTGGATCTTCTATAAACCCCCATGTATAGAGATTTGATGGACTTGGTAGAACATCATACACTGATCTTAGTAGGAAGCTCAAACGGTATTTCTCCATACTCCAAATCTCACTCCAGCGCAAGGCCCTGTTTCTATCTCCTTGCCAATTTAACCAACTACCTAGCTGCTTTATGCCTACTGCCTTAATATTCCTTCTCTCTTCTTCTATCTGTCGTACTTCCTGCTGTACCAAATCTCTCTTTCCATTCTCATCTGCTGTATCCCATCTTGGTTTTGTTGTCATACCAAATCCTTGTCTGCCCACAGCTGTGACAACAACAATGACACTGTGTCTAAGTCTTGTCTCTGTTTCTTTCACTGCTTCCTCTGCTTTTCATTTTCTTCCTGTCCGGATCTTTACTTTGACCCCTCTAATTTTAGCATCTTTGCTGTTCCTCAACATCATAACCTGCCGTGTTTTTGTGAGTTTAAATTCTTCTGTCAACGCCTTGAATGGTAATTGCAGTTAAGTCCCTGTATTATACAAGCCAATGCTGCTGAAACTTCTTGGTAAGCCAAACCCACGTCTGAGGCATGCACTGATCTTCTTTTCTTAAACCTCAATTTTGGACACGGGAAACTCATATACCAATAACGGCCAAAGTATCCTTGGCAAACCACTATGTTGATACAACCAAGCTTTATATCTTCCTGGCAGGCCACTTTTGTCTATCTTCGACAGCCAATCTTCCAACTTCTATTGTATTTCTTTTGTGTTTTCACTGTCTGCTAGTGAAGCGTCAAACTTTTCCCCAAGGATTTCACTGGTTCATCCCCAACCTTTGGTATCTTTCCCCCTGTTCATTCAAAAGTTTCATCTCTCACTTTGCCTTTTCTCACAACCAAACTTCTTGATTTACTGGGTTTGAATTCAATTCTGGCCCAACTTATCATTCCTTCCAACTCCTCTTAAGTTCATCTTCCCTCTATTACTGTCTTTGCAGTAACATTCATGTCATCCATAAATGATCTTATTGGTGGTTGTCTTATACCTGATGACATAAATGGTCCTCTACTGGGTTTTTCCACTGACTTCACAGTGAGGTTCATGGCTGCTGCAAACAATACTACTGACACTGTATATCCCATTAATATTCCTACTTCTAGTCTCTGACACTCTGTGGTGAAATCTCCTACTGTAAATCTCATCTCAATATGATTAAAGTTTTCTTGCAGCATTGCCCTGATGATGGTTGGAACATGGTACTTCTGCAATGTCAAATCTACCAGTTTGTGAGGAAAGGATCCATAAGCATTAGCATGATCTAGCCAAAGTACTGCTTAGTCGCTTTTCTTCTCCTTTGCTTCTCTTGAGATCTGTGTTGAAACACTTGTATGTTCAATACATCCGGATACTTCTGGCATGCCTCCTTTCTGAACTGATATGTCTATATATTCGTTGCTAAGCAGGAATCTTGTTGTCCTCTTCGCTAAAACTGCTAAGAAGATCTTCCCCTTGACATTCTTCTCAAAACGCGTGTCAAAAGCGTCAACGAAAAAAACATTAAAACCTAGGAAAACATCCAAAATTACAAGTGGCAAAGCAGTACCTGAAGATGAAATTTTCAATAAAATCAATGAATGTATATGGCAGCGACAACTTAAAAAGAAAAATCTGTAAAAACTAATAAGAAAGCAACAAAGCCAAAGAAATCAAAACTAGAAAAGGACTTTGATTGTCAGAGATCTTCAATATCGGGAATGATTTCTGGCGTTCATGGGCCACTTATAGTTGAGGACAGCTGTGAACTAACTATGTTGCATCTGCAATCAAAGATACCCACCCTCTTTAAGACACTGTATTTCACTAACCATTGTTAACTGGGCTCAGTGGGATAAGTTTGATCACTGGACACATCTACGCTACTGTACACCTGTAACTGTTGTTCGGACTAAATCAAAATTTGTATGCCCTCATTGTGACAGTGACAAATAAATATCTTACAAAACTTTTTGTGACACAAACAGCTGAATTCTATTATGGGCATTTGAATAAATCAAAACTAAACTTTGCAAATTTATTTCAAAGTGGTCATTGCTAATTTTTAATTAGTTTTGTTTAAATGCATAAAAAAAAATAAAAAAAAATAAAGATATGTTACTACCAGTGATAAAAACATGTGCAAATTAATGTCTTCTTTTTTTCATCCACTAATAATGTGATACATGTCCACCATACCATACTTTTGAAAACTATCCAGAACTGATGGCGTAGTGCTCAACACGTCATAAACGTGTAAAAATACAAATGTTTTGTTTTTGTTCTGTGTTTCACAGGAAAAGCTGCAGGCTTTTTGGGAAATAAAGGCAAGTGTTTAATGAAATAATACAAACAAACTTATTTATTTATTAGCTGTACTTGCGATACG